CTGATGCTTCTCCTCTCCCAATGAAGGAGCCAGCTTCGACAAAGCCAGTGGAGCCTGCGGTGGTGCGCGCCAGTACCAAAGGGTTTGAGGAGGCTGTACCTTCCCCATGTGGATATTTGGCTCCCAGCTAAAGCCTTTTTTGAGTTTTGACAACAAAGAGTATTTTTTACTGAATCCCCAGCTTGTTAAGGAAGTACTTCTTCTTCTCTGCACACGCCATCTGCGCTACCCAGAAGTCATTGGCTTGCATCTTGAACTGTTTTGTGAAGGTGCTGGCCCCTGGGATATCGTTAGTTTAAAGAGATTTAAAGAGTATAGGGTCTGTTTCTGACCAGTCATACCCAGTCAAAGGTGAGCTTTCTATGACTCCTATGAAGGTTGGCAAGTGTCATGACCTGCAGAACGTGTTTGGGCAGTGGTGTTGCAAAGCCTGCCACTGGGAATCCAAGTCGATGGAGGGGATGACCAGAGTTCCTTGCAACCCTCTCTATGTTCAGAAACTGCTGCAGGTCGAAACTTATCTGCAAAAAACACTGTTGTTATTCGATCCTTATCCTTTGAAATAAAACCAGGGGTAGGAAGCTCTATCTTCTTCATGCCCAGGAGATGCTCAAGAAAATGCAGGAGAAGGTGCAAGCGCTGAAGGCTCTCCAACTTCAGAAGCGGCAAATGGAAGCTGCGCAGGCTGTGGCTGCTAAGGCTATGGCTGGGGCCTCCACTGTCCCACCTACCACTGCTCCATGCTGCTTGCCTTGGATCTATATTTTTGCCAGTCTGGCTGAATAATTGGGGTTCTATAGATAGCCAATAGATAAGCTGAACGTATAGGGTGTGCACTCTTCCTGCTTTTTGGTTGGGTTCACTGGCAAGGCTTTGACACGGACGAGACCCAGCCACTGATTTCTCCAAATGCTGCTACATGCAAGAAGCTGTGCTTTGAAGAAGCGGAGCCCAAGGAGGCCACAGCAATGGCTTTGGCGGAGAGTGTGCCCGAGAAGCCTCTGGTCGAGAAGGCTGAGGGGCCTTTGATGGAGACACACATGGAGGCTGTGGATCAGGACTTCAAGCCTCCACCACTTCCTGAGAAGCCGGCTTGCTTGAGAAAGCTCCGCCCAGATCCCATTAGCCCGGCTAGGCAACTTCAGTCTGTGAGGAAATGTGAAGAACAGCCCGAAGAGGAACAGGATGATGATGAAGGCAAGTCAAAGAAGAAGAAAGGGCAAGCCAAGCCAAAGGCTAAGGCCAAGTGTAAGGGAAGAGCGAAGGGCAAGGCAAAGGCTAAGGGCAGGCCAAAGGCCAAAGGACAGCCCAAGGCCAAGGCCGGCAGTCGGAGAAAGATTGCCAAGAAAGAGGATGATAGTGCCAGCGAGGATCGCGAGGACAAGGAGGAGGAGGAAGAGGAGGAGGACTCAAGTGTGGAGGCTGTTGAGGACCAGTGTGAGGACAAGAGGGGCAGTCGACAGAAGAAGAAGGAAGAAGCAACTTCCAGCTCTATGGTCGAAACTGGAAAAGGCAAGGACAAGCATGGGAATGTGGAGAGGGCAAGCTCTTCCAACAAGAGTGCCAAGAGCGCGGAGAAGCCCAGCTCTTCCAACAAGAGGAAGCCAAAGAAGAATGAGGAGGAAGAGGGAGTTGAACCCGAAGCTAAAACAACCAAAGCCAAGCGGGTTGGTAAAGAACCAGAGGGAAGCAAGAAAAGCAAGAGAAAGGCAGTGCCAGGTGGAGAAGAGCACGGGATGTTAAGGAAGACAGCCGTGAAGACAAGAAGAAGAAGCACAGCCGCAAGTCGGCGGCCTACCATCGTGCGGTGAAGATGGCCCGAGAAGAAGGTGTTGATGAGAATGAAGCCAAACAAAGAGGCAAGGCGGTGCCTTGACTTCAGAATATAACAAAGAGTTGTTGGAGAATCGTCAACCACACCTTGCCAACTTTCCAGTTTGTTTGGGGCTCCGTTTTGGGGGCGAAGGTATTAATCACGGCACCCCCACATAGGACTACATATAGATCCCTTCGCCCCCAAAACGGAGCCTCAGGCAAAATGGAAATTCATCACCACCCCTCAACATTTTGATAGTGGCCATCCCAAAATTGTTGAGCTATATCGTGATCGTGGGTTGCACTCTAGGCGTATGCAGCCACCAATTGAGCCAGTGGGCAAACATTCGATGAGTTTTGCTGGGGGTAGTACGTGCTGAGGGTTTGGCATGCAAAGCATGCAGTTTGGATCTGCTGTTCGCATCACGTACCAATTGCTGATCCTAGCCTGGAAGTGGGCTGGGTTTTCTATGTGAAATATGGCCATGGACTGGGCGCTGTGGCAAAACCAACGGGAAAAAGATCTTTCAGATTCTCAGGCTCATTGTTCCATGACACCTTCATGCAGGATTCATGCCCCTTCCTCCACCCTAGTTCAATTGGTTCAAGAATTTCCCTTGCTGCTCCCTGCCAACCCGGTGGAGGCTGCCTGCGAGATGGAGAGGTGGGCCATCCGGAAGATGTCGGCCTGTGGTCGGCGAGGCATGTTTGTGGACAGAGAGTGTCATTCATGGCTTGTGCTTTATCCCAGATCGGTGGTAGTCTGTCCTCAGCTGGAGCCAGTTTGATCGTAGCTGTACGTTTCACTGGTGTGGGGCCCGTGATCCATAGCTATGCCGGTTCCTCGCTGGGAGTCTCTGGTTCCAAACCTGATCCAGCTCCAAGTGCCCAAGGCTCACTTCAATATGAGTGTTTGCAATCGAGCGCATGCAGTGCTACATGCCATCTATATATGAGCTGTTTCATCTGCCTGGACAGGTATTCATTGGATGCGTTTGGGCCCAAAACTCTTTTAACATTTAATACTTGTCAAAGCTCACATGTACTGGGGTATTTTAATTGATCAGCTCTTATAAGGTCCTTCTCCTCACGTTCACCGAGAACATTGACCTCTCGATGCAAACTGAAATGTTTGAACTTTTCTCGGGGCATGCAGCGGTGAGCTCTGAATTTCGAAAAGCAGGAGTGGCCACATATTCCTATGATATCAACTATGCCCCAGGGAGAAGAAACATGGACTTCCTGTCTCCAGGGGGATTTGCGTCCAAGTCTCATTTGTCATGAAGCCTGGCAATTGAAGCTTCCCCCCCAACGCTTCACTGGCCTCCAGCTCAGGTTGGCGATGGTCTGCGTGCTCAGGGAGGCTCCGAATGCCTTCAATCTCGTGGCGCCAGATTGCGGCAGTTTTTCTATAGTCAGCAGGGGAACAAGTCAAAGAAGCACAGTATCACCACTGGGTCGTGAGCCGCTCCCCTTTGTCTCCAGGGGGAATATGACTATTTCAAGGTGGGCCTTTTGGTTTTGCTTCATATCACCTCCAGGTGCTAGAATCTTCCTTCAAGTTTTGTATATTAATAGATTGGGCCGTGGCCCTGTAAGGCTAGTGCTTTTGCTTCTTCTCATGGTGGCGTGCCACACTATCTGGTGCCTGGAGCAACCAAAAGGCTCAGAACAAGTTCTCAGTAGAAACCCACGCTTTGAATGGATGTGCAACAGAGTGCTGTACGTGCTTTGGCAAATTGGCCGCTGTTTTCCTCTTCCAGTACACCTCTAGCTGATTGTTTGGGTGACCCTGGAATGAAGAAAACCAATGATCAGCCAGCTGTTGCCATTGTCCTTTGGGGAACCAATTGAAAACGTAAGTGCGTCCAAGGTATACAAATCCAGCTTCTACATGGCACACTATGGACAACTGTGCCCCAAGCCTTCCATCTTTTGGAGCACTTCCTTTGACATGATGAAGTTGATGGTGGGGGCATGCCTGTTTCCTTCGACCTCGCCTCTTTATTCTTGCCAGGACAAGGGGCCTCTGACCAAAGAGCAGAAGGACAAGCTTCCCTTGGAGACATCTCGCCGAAAGCTTGGGTGTACTTGCCATTATATATATTAGCTTTCTTCTAGTGCGTCCTCATTCTGCTGAGGAAAATATGAAGACAAACACGGAGTCAAGAGGTTTGTTGGCTTAAAGCCGGCTTTGAAAAGGAGTGGGTCAGAGCCTCATGTCCACATGCTGCTAGTCTCCACTTCTATGGGGTTTCACTAATCCCAATTTGGTTTGCCAGGGCATATCCAGCGGGCCTCGGCCAACATCTTGTGAAGGCGTGGAGGCTAGTCAAGGACCTGCCCAGGAAGTGCTCGAGACAGAAACCGGTGACCAATTCGATTGCTACTGACCGAGAGCTGTTTGAACAGCTACCCATGTCTGACGTCTGGCCAGAAGCAGAGCTGATCCAGCTTTGAGCATACCTTTATCGAAATACAAGACTCAGGGTTCCAGATTGCTGGGCATCTACTTTGTCTACCTTTCATGAGAGCTTGATGGATCTAGCTACTTAGCCAAATATCTCTGCCTGGACTAGTTTAGCTAGCAGCTAGTCAACCCTACCGGACCGTTCTGCTGGCCTCAGGTTCTGGCTGATGACCCTACTCGTGAGGAACTGCGGAAAGCCTGGGTGGAAGCTCGTGTGGTGTGAGAACAGACTGGCTTGATCTTTTGGGTATAGATCATATTATGTGGATGTTGATGGAATACCATCACAATTCGTACACAATTCGTAACAATCCGTGCAAAACTCGGGCGCAAAACGAGCGCAATTTTTAATCAAACAGGCGCAAAAAACGCTAAACGGACGCAAACAACGATTCCTGCCAGGGGCATGTTTTTTCAAACATTGAGTGTATATGGTCTAAAGTCGACTTGGTTCAAGGCGTCTCATCCGTTTCATCCAATGTCGGAGCAGGGACTCAATCTTCGTTCGTGTACAACCCTGAACTTGGGTGTAGCAATGGTGAATGAACAGAACCTTGGTGTGGACATGATGGCGCTTGATGACCAAATCAGAGTAGCTAGACTGCACAGCAATTTATGAGCACATATTTTGAAAATTTAAAGGGTTGCCTAAAAGCTCTTTTTTAAGAACCGAAACAAAGGCCTGGTTCCCAGGCCATCCTTTCAAATGGAGCCCATGCAAGCCCCAACCGCTGCCCTTGAGGCGGCCACCGCGGAGCTCCAAAAGATGCAAATGGATATTGGCCTTCACTGTGGCACAGTGGGGGATGGGCCTGAGGGTGGAAGAGTGATCGCCAAAAAATCCATGTAGAGCCTTTTCTTGGTTGGGGTACCAAAACACATGCTAACATGTTGCAGGAATCGTCAATGAAGCAGTCAGTGCTGGTGAATTTATGCCAGGGCCTGCCAAATTCCCAGTGCAGAAGCTTCGTGAAGAGGAACTGCGCTTGTTAAGGACCCGCAGTGAGCTTGGTACCATTCACTATGTACCTTCCCCCGTGAAGACCGCTGCTATCAAGGGCTCTCCCCCAGCTACTGCTGAACCTTTGCTTGAAACACAACCAGACTCCACGGTTCCAGCTGAGTTGAGTCCACCTGTTCCAGCCCCCGCTCCAATCCAGCCTGACATTCAGGAGCAGGTCCCCCCAGCGAGCCCAATGCCAGCTCAGGCCCATGCCTCTGGTCAAAGGCAGGACTCAGTGAAGCCTCCAAGTGGCGGTGAGGCTGTGTCCCATGGGGAACCTAAGGATCCGTCACATGTACCCCCCGCAGACCAGCCCAAGAGTGACTCCAAGAGTGAAAAGTATGACAAGTACAAAGATGGTACCTATTGGAAGACACTAGGCTCACAAACATGTTTGTGTGTACTCACGCAGATCTGACTTCAATTCCCTTTTGGCAATCGCTGCTTTCACTTAGGATGAAGCGGTATTTTGAACCAACCAATGGCAAGCGCAATGCCTCTTATGAGGCTCTAGACATGTGGCGTGACCCCCGCAAAAGATTCATGGTCGTATGTATGACCAAGTAAAATGTAACAGGCCGGGTTTGTGGAAATCAGTTTGGACAGCCTGCATTCCCTTCAGTGGTATTTTGGACATCGCCGGATATCTAATAGCTATACTCAGGAGATGTGATCCGTGACCTTTTGCTGAAGCATGGCAACTTCAATGCTGTGTAGATCTCGGTGGTCGCCGTATCATTAAAAAATGCCAGTAACAAGCTAGAAGGTGGGTGGCACAATGAGATAAGCTTGGCTGGCAAAAATCAAATTTTGGGATGAGTAGCTGAACAGCATGTATGTGTATGCCTGCAACTGCGATCTCCCAATCGTACATGTGTGTTTGGGGTAATTATTTTAAATATCTATAGCTAAGGGAGATGATTGCCAACAGCCGTGAGTGGGCCCGTCAACGCGGGCTACTTCAAAAGAATCCCGTCCATGGCAAAGAAGAGTGGAAAATCCCAACCGAGTGCACCTTCTCCTTTACCAATGATGTACTTCAAGAAGCAAGCGCCCGGGGAACTATGACAGCTGAGGACCAATTACTTGTTTAATATAGCCATCGCATTTTGCTATGCACCTTCCAAAGGGGTCAAAAGGCCTTATAGGATGATGAGGCCTTGTGACCCCCTCTTCCTTGTTCAAAACCTTTATCAGCTAGAGGATCCAGATGGGACTTTGATGTCCAATGATATCACATCTAACTTTGCTCTTGAGCAGCTTGGGCTTTGCTAGTTTCTTTCTTTTGTTGCAGCTTTTAAATGTGCACGTGCCTTCAAGTGTGTGTGTGTGCTGTAGCTTTTAGGTCCAGTGCTATGGGATCAACCGATGTCACTCATGGAGCTGCTCATTCAACTGCAGCTGCCAAAGAAGCTAAGACGACGTCTTTGCCTGTCCTTCAAGCAAACCAAGATGTTTTTAGCAGCTTGGTATGAGCCAGGTAACCCTCATGCCTGCTACCTGCCTGTTGTATTGTAGAACACTGGCGACTGTGATGCCAAGGCCTTTTGGCTACCTACTTGGATGTGGTCGGCAAGAAGGTTGACAAGACAGCAGAATTGGAGGCTCGATCCTGGGTTTGTTTCAATCTTCTGTTGTGCCTCCTGGGTTTGCCAGCTTAGTGATCTTAGTGGTCATTTCTGATTTTGGAAGGAGAAGTTGATCAACATGAAGGTTGACCGTGCCACACAGTGCCTTGGCTACTAACCTGGACCTCATGCAATTGTATGCGCACCATTTTTGCTTATTGCATGTTGAGGATGGCTGCAGAGCTCAAAACCAAGAAGCAAGAGCTGGAAGCACAGTATAAGAAGCTGTTGGGCTTCCAAATGAATTCCATCGCCTCGGAAGTTCCTCCAACCAGGACCCTTTCTTAACAGCAACAAAAACACAGCTATCTATAAGGGCCGCAAATGCCAGGACTGAGAAGCAGAACCTCATGCAAGTCTACATCGACACGACGAAGGCAGATACCGCCATCAACCACTTGACAACTCGAGCCAGGAGAGACTTTTAATCACAAGTTGCGCTACTGCGTTGCACTCGTGCACGAAAACTTCAGCCTGTGCCTGTGTCAGGACCATCAAGCCCGCAGTTGCCCCAAAGTCAAGCTCTGGCAAACGGACTGGTGCCAAGAAAGAGAACAAGACAGATTCCAAGAAAGATAAAAAGACAGATACCAAGAAGGACAAGAAAGAGAAAGTCAAAGATGAGCCAGAAGAGCCAGAAGAGCCCAAGTCGAAAAAGGCTAAGAAAGCCAAGTAGAGCTGTACGTGGTCAAGAATGGCCCTGTGTACGTGTGCATCAGATTTTGTTCAGTGCCATGTGGGGATGCTAAATGCCATGGTGCTGATGTAGATGGCTGATGGACATCAATATGCACCTCGTGACAAAAAAAGTATTGCCATTATTTCCATGTGGGCACTTGGTCATGTGGGAGCTGCAGCTGTCGTACATGCATATCGCACGAAATTGCAAGCCCTATTATGTCAGGTGGGGCCTCACCATCTCTATCCTCTTTCCTTTGTGGAGGCATGGCTAGGGGTGGTTTGGTGGGGCTTTCTTGCATTGCTGATGGTGGGTCGAAAAGTGGCATTGTAACCTGGAAATGTTCTACAGTAAGCCATTGGTTGAAAAAGGGTTGAAGTGGCTATGGTTCTGATGGTCATGGTGCCGCTCCCATCCAAGCTGGCCTTCCAAGGTCGAAGTGAGGAAGATGAGCGCCTGGAAACGGAGTTGGCACAGGAGCTCATGAATGATTACTATTCTGGTGTGATTCATTTGCACTAGAGTTGATCAACCAATCTCATGAACCCACAAACCATTACATATGTGAATGCTAGCTTAGGCTGAATCTGCCAAAAGGGTGTGTAAGCTGGCTTCAATGGTGACCAAACTTGGAGAAGGGAGTTTCTAGGTGGCATTTTCCAAATGACACACAAAGCAACCTGGAACTATTCCCCTTTGCCAAGGAAAAATGGAGCTATTATATCGAATTGCTTCAGCTGGCCGTAGTGTCACAAATGCTTCACGGAACCTTCACACGCTGATACACAAACGTGGTTGGACAGTCCCCCTTCGAATCCATACTGTTCAGATCCCAGTACGCAAGCGAAAGCCCAAGCTTCAGAAAGTTTGGGTGCACTACCCGGTGATTCTTCCTACGACATGGTTTAGCTATTTGCTGAGCGTGCACAGTATGTTGCTCCTATGTGGTCATGACATCAATCAGCAGGAATGCTGGGCCAAAGAGTTGCGCCACTTTTGGGCTATGTTTTTGAAGGCAGAACCAAATCATCCAATGGTGCAACCTGGGTCACCTCCAGCGCATTGCACGATTCCGCTGTACTTGCATGGAGATGAGGGAAGAGGAAAGTTTGCCCTCCCCATAATGGTTCAAGCGTTTCAACCTGTTGTGAGCTACAAGGGGCCCGAGTTCAAGAATTCAAGTGGGTATCTTGGAGTGTTTGCAAGTTTTTTGTTTCGATCTCTTGGGAGGGCGAAGGCCTGGTAGCTCATGTTAACACATGCGTGTGACTGCCGAGGCATTCAATGTGCACAAGGTTCCTGTTTTCTGTTCTACCTTCAGAACTATACTGGAAAGACCAATCACTAGAGCACCTCAACGGCTATTTGGCTGACAATCTGGTGAAATTGTTCCACGAGGGGGTGCAAGCAACTTGGTATTTGGCCACTATAGATGTTTGCTGCATAGTGTAGCTCTGTTCAACGTATTTGTGCATTGCTGGCTGCCCATTAGGTAAATGGCACCCGTTTCTATGGAGCGGTAGTTGGCATCAAGGGGGATTGGCCATACATCCGAAAGGCCTGGCAAGCCAAAACATGTTTAGGGAGGTAGAGGTGGAGCTGTGCTGCCAGGCCATGGCCCTCAACTGTGGCTACAACTGCAGTAGAAAGTGTCATCTTTGCAAAGCAACAGCCCCTTAGCTGTTTGTCCCCCATGGCCTCCCTAAAACCTTTGCTTATCACTGCCCAGGACTGGTGGAACATGACCACTGATGCTGAGTGGAGACAGGACAATCCAGAGGATTGCCCATCCCCGTTCAAGCCCGCCGGGTCGCCTTTGCTCTCCGTTCCGGGATTGACCTCACCAGGGTCAATCATGATTGACGCAGCCCACACGTGGCATATAGGGCCCTCCAACTGCACAAGTGCATGTGGATACCTGACACGCTTGTTACTTCCCAGTGGTTGTGTGGTTTTTGAAGGCAAGGTTTTGTCGGAGCTGAGGTATGGTAAAGACTTCGTTGCCAGTGGTGTTGTGCTTTTGGCAAAACTGAAATTATTTGAAGGGAGATCTCTAGATGCGCGACTGGAGTGTGCGTTCAAGCTTTTCATCATATGGTGTGGGAAGCACAAGAAGAACACCAATATCCACAGTTTCTCAAAGAAGAGTTTCAAGATGCAATGGACACTTGGTGATAGCCTAGAACCCTTGCATTCTTCTGGATCCTGTTCTTTTTGCTCGGGTGCTACCAACCTGTGACTGCACGCAGCTAGGAACACATCATTCCCGACATCTACTGGTGGCAAAGGTGCTGATACAGCTATCTTGTCAGCCTGGCTGGAGCATGTGATGAACAACATGGACATTTGGTTGGTCGTACTTTTTAGTGTGCTAGCGCTAGCTTTGAACTTTCGCGTGCATGCTTACAACTGCATGTGTAGCCTCTGCCCTGAGGATTGCGAGGAACCATTGTTTCAGATGCTCCAGTATGCGGTGCGTTGCAGCAACTGCTTTTACCGGCTGTTGTACTGGAGAGGTTTGTGGTTAAAACCTCATGAGTGCAAGTATGCCGCGTGTGCTGTTCAGGAAATGACAGTAACTCAACTCATGTATACTCATGTTGTTATGCATGGGTAGCATGCTGTGTCAGTTTTACACACAGATTGGTGTATGATTTGTTTGGCATACTTTCTGAGGAATTTTACTGCTCTTTGGCCTCTCTTTGCCAAGAGAGGAACATGAACCTTTTCTACATCCGGCCCAAAGTGCACATGTCTTCGCACGAAGGGTTTCTTGTAAGAACATGAAGGAACATTAGGAACATGCTTTGGGGGAACCATGAGCTCACCCACTTCTAAGGATCAAACTTGGAAAGTTGGCGCAACAGAATCACCACGGTGTCAAACCACTAAGTGCTTGCCTAAGAGTGGTGTTTGCAAACCTCTACCTGTGTGGCTTGTGAGGATCTTGTGGGTAGAGTCTCACAGGTAGCTAGATCTGCTGGCACTCATGCTCTTAGTTGCACTTTGAGGTGCACCCAAAAAATCTTGGGTGAATACCAGAAGCAATTCAACCTCCTGAATGGCTGAGCTCCCGAGCGAGAAAAGTGAAGTGGGCAAAAGCGGGCAGGATCGGGCTGATTTCGAGCCAACGGGCAAGAACTCAGAAAGCGAGCAGAAACCATCCTCGTGCAAAAATAAATGCACTTTTGAATCCCCAGGATGTATATATATATGTATACGTATGCTGTACGGTTTGTGGAGGTATTTATTTTCAGACTTGTATTTCGTGGAGCCGTAGTTGACTCCTCAAATTCCTTCATGTTGACTTCATGAATTCCCTTTTTCTCATTTTTTGTCATCATTTGGTACCTCGGCCAATTTGTCTTGATGATGCGAGCGAAAGGGCTTCTCTTGGGGCCGCAGCCTTTGGCTGACACGAAACCGGTGTGGATGCGGAGTTCAAATGTGGCAGGATTTTTTTTGAGACACTGTCCTCACTCAAGCCAACGCCACGCCTAAGGTTTATGTCCTGTGAGGGCACAGACGTCATCAAGAGGGTTACCTGGGATACTCGGCCTTGATGAGACAGATCGCCCAAAGATCCGAGATGGAAAACCACATTTCGTTTGCCACGCCCCAGAGTCCAGAGTCCTGAGTCCTCCCCAGTGCTCTTGTCTATGAGGAAAAAGCACCATTTGTGTGTGCTTGCGGCCAGTTCTTCTCTTAAGTCTTTGCAAACGCATCCGTTGATGATCTCGGTGGGATCAACAATGAGTAGATGATTGACCTCTCTTAGTCTTGTCGGGTCGATCTTGTAGGGTCCGCGTCGTGTGGTCCACCAAGCACCATCACCCCGGATGCTTATACCAGCAAGGTTTCCGTTCAATGGGAAGTTTGAATGTTTAAATTGGACTTTCAATTCGGTTCAGTTCGGTTCCAATCAGTTCGAGACCCTTCCCGTTATACTCGCGTCCAGTCTTGGCCCTGGTCTCAGGAGCATGTGCACATCCTGGTGGACAAGTGGCCCGATATCGACCTACCACACTCCCGCGTCATCCGTAAGGCGCACGCCGTGTTTTTCACACCGACTTTCTTGGTTTGAGTCCGGTGTACCGGAAGAGGTGCGAAGGACCTGTTGGGAGAAGATTGGGGACCTTGGGAAAGAAGTGGAGTTGGGACTTCTTTGCGAAGAAGCGGGTTGGCGGAAATTACGATATTTGCAAACATGGGTTGGTTGAACGAACATGGGTTGACATTGGTTGACTTGCCGAACTGCCATGATTCACTTTCACAATTATAGATCGGGTCCAGGGACGATGCTACAGAAACAAGAAATCAACCTCGCAGCTCGTCATCATTTGAGGAATCGGAGTCACTTCATCCTCCAATCTGCGGAATCGGAGTCCTGTGAGGGATCGAGATCGTTCCGAGACAAGACGATCCGCAGACGATTCGGGCGGAGATCGGGCAGATCGACGGCAGGTGCTCTGGGCGATCACGCACAATGAGATGTTGGAGGACAGGGAGTAAGCTTCCGATTCGCCGACCAGAAACGATGTATGTACTGATACTGTATTCACCAGGTGATCTTTATTGGGTATAAGCATATCATGATTTGATCTTGACTGCTTGCAGGATTTCCCGTCAATGACCAGTCTGGAAAAAGAAAAACAACTTTTGGAGGAATGGATTGTCACTTGCTCTCAATCCAAGATCTTTTGTCGCAGGAGAGAAACTCTGCAAGTCTCCAACTCTTGTCCTTAAAGTACTCATTTCAGAGACTCCTTTGATTTGACATTCTTTTTTTCTTTGGAGCGTCTTTTTGTTCTCACCTCAATTCCTCTCACCATCGGCACATCGTCCCAGGAGCACTTCCAGGACTGCGGATTCGCCCTGGCAACGCCACTCGGTCACACCGGGGTCGAGGGAGCTCGGAGACTGGCTGGAGTTTGCTTCAGAAGTGAAGCCAGTTACGTGGGTTTGACTAGCCTTCCAGTGAAGGGCGGGAATCCAAATGCGAAGCAAGATTATAAGATTGCAATGGAGCCCAAGGCTTGCAGCTTTAGTACTCTTGACTCTAGACCAATACTAATAGAACATACTGAGATCGCTGAGATATTAGCCAACCATTTCTTTCCTCATGGTGTATCATGTGTAGCACATTATCATGTGGGAACGAGATTGTTTCGATTGCTTGTGCTGGGAAATGCATCGGATTTACAGACAACTACATGTAGCGTCATATACCGTATACATCCGCGTACCATCATGAATCCTTGCCCCACTGCTGTCGCAATTCGCCCGTGTGAACAAGCATAGAGTTTTATGCAGGACCCTTTACAGGAGAAGGCGGTTTTTCTGGATTTCCTGAGAATAATTCTACGGACCATTTTTTAAAAATCGATTCTGCTGAGTCAGTGGTGCAAAATTCCAGGCGCGAGCTTTCACTCCACAAAGTCCTGAGGATCATCTTAGTGGCCTTGAGGGCCATTGACTATGACGATGGTCCTGAAGAAGCACAAAAGATGCTGCCCAGCACAGATTGACATGGTCCTGCAAGCGTTGATCCTCATGAGCCGTGAGCAGGCGACCTAAAATGTCTTTGGTCACCTCCGGGCTTGTCGTTCACATCTAGTGACTAGTGAATCTGGTGTATCCTCTCTTGAATTGGAAGGTGAGCTGCCAGGGTTTATGTCTATGTTCAATTCACCCACAGTTTTATCCTTTGGATTGATCACAGGAATTTTTGACAGCTTTGCAACATCCGGCACTGCCCACACCAACCATTTGGGGTGGTTTGATGTGGTTTGCACTGTTTACTTCTTCCTCCCGACTCCCGTCCATTTGTTTAACATTCAAACGTTCGGAACAGTGAGGTGGAGTCTATCCATTCTTTTGGTGTGATCTGGATAACCAGTCTCCAATTTCAACGGGCATCAGAAGACCGACAGCCTGGTTGGCTAGAATCTGTGGTTGACAAAAGTTTAATGCTTGGACACATCTTTGATCTTCGGGGCTACTGCCTCGAGTGAAAAAGAGATCTATATAATATTCTTGTCAGGAAGATGCATGGAAGACGACTCCTTTACAGTACGTCAGCCAGTTTGTACTGTAAATCCAAGATACTTGGACTTTGTTGTCGGTGTGTCATCCAGGATCCTTTCTCCCCATTGTTGAGAAAGGTCGTCCAATGAAATCGGAACCTGTTGGGACCCCCATGGCGATTGGTCAGAGGACCTGCCCCTGGCAAGCTGAGGCTTAGGTTTTTCAGGGCAACTTCCAAGGATGTGCTGTCCATGCCAAGGGTCTCTATGTATTCATGCCAAACCAAATCAAAAGCGTCCCTCAAAATGACCGGTGACCATGTTGCTCCTTTTGTGGCGAGGTTTCTCTACTTGACGGAGCAGGTGCTTCCCAGGTTGGAGCCCCACATGGCCTTGGCCGCGCGCGACGACTGGGCCTTGGACCTGACGGATCTCAGGCGGGCATGGTGCGGAATGGGCAGCTGAAGCGGTGTGAGACTTGGGAGCTTGGTGGTGGGGTAGTGTGGTAGTGTATGCGAGCGTGGCGGTTCTTGGTTCTTGGTAGCTTGATCAGTGGCTTCCTGATTGCGCTTGGATTTAGCTACTTGTAGTTTGCGTTGGGTCGTGCTGGGTGATGGCAGTGCGAGTGTGCTGGGAGCGGCCGAGTATTAACCAAGGCTGCAAAGAGACAACCAAGCCTTTAGGGGAAGATCGGGAAGATGCTGTTCCGATATCTTTCTTTGAACAAGGAGGTCTTCCAGTTTCTATAATTGTTTTTGCGGAGCGGAGGAGTGTTCTTGGGTAGATCAACCCATTGGAAACTCTGAGGTGCATATGAATTTGCTGCAACATGATCAAAATCTCAAGCCGCAGAACTTCTCAAAATCATAGCTTCCACTGCTTGAGCTGCAGAATACTATCTAGCACAAGCTATAGTGTCCATTAGTGTCCTCTTTGTGTAGACAGGGCGCCAGAATGGGGTGACAGGGCAGGTGTCAAGATTCGATCGCCACTTCGACGATGTGCAGGATCTATCCATTTCTCCTTGGACTGACTCCACAGCACAACTGCTACGAGAGCGACCTGCGCATCTTCGTCTACGACCTTCCGCAGCTGACGCGAGGGGTGCTGCATTGCCACCACGGACAGTGGGGATTGGAAGCCACTTGGCCAAGAAGAAGGCTTACAGCAGGAGTTCCAAGGGAGTTTTAGCTAGATACCGGTCCGACACCCACGCACACTTTAGCTTACTTTAGGATGTGAACTATATCGCAGGTATTTCTCTCATGTACCCGAGTCGTCCGTTTTTGGCGTATCATCGGTGCTGTGTGGAAGATCTATGTTGTGTCTTGCACGTGTTTAACTGACTGATGGGTTCCTGAGAGTATTAGAGAATTCAAGCAAACCTTGTTGCAGGATTCGGATCGCGCAAAGTCAGAGAGGTGTTTAGCGCGACATGGCTTTGCAAACACATAACTAGGTGGCAGACTAGTAGAAGAATGTGGTTTGAGGATTGCTGGACAATCGTAAAGCAAGTGCCATTATAGCCTAAGCCGGGGCTCAGGGTTGACATTCTTGGTTCCAGATTTTTCAGTTGGTGCAGAGTTTTTTCAAGCTTGATTGGCTACGTTATATACATGTTCTCGACCCCTAACATAAGGCGTCGTATGACATACACATCCTGAAAACATCATGGAAGTGGAAAACGACCACCTACATAGAATTCGGATCTTGTCCACCATGATCATTCCAGGAAATGTAATTCAGACTGTTTCACTATGCTTCACCGGATTGGTACCAGTTTTTCATTGGTGAAATTGGTGAAACTCACAGCGTTTTATTGGTTATACTTCCGTGGGTCATGTTCGATCACCCCAATCTTCTTGGGATCCATTGGTGATGTGCGAGGCCTTGATTCCACACTGGCTCCGCCGTGGCTCCTGCCGGACTGAAGACCCAGAGGACGACTTTTTCTATCCGGCGGATGTTTCCAGGGAGACAACCGAGGAAGATGCAAAAAACATGGCTGGAAATGGATTGGATTGGTGAACGGCCGTTGGTAAGACGACTTTGATAGGAGGTCCGAGGTGTACCACATGTTTCTACACTTAATTTGATGGGGTCGTCGTTCATTCCTGTGAGAGGGGGAGTACCATGGTAATTGCAATGTGTTTTTGTTCGTTTCAGGCGTGGTGGTAGAAATCATGGACAAAGCGCCTTTTCTATGAGATGTACCTTCGGCGACTTAGGGGTAGTGTTATTCTATCAAGGTATTCCGAGATATGGAATATAAAACACAAGCCACTCAGGTTGCTATTGTTCGGTCTATTGTCACATACTGCTTTGAGTTTGAAGATTGTACAAAATAGTGGAACTGGATTTTTAAAGGCATAAACCATATCCCTTACACGGCACGCACACACACGCACACATACAGACCATCACACCCACCCACCTACTCTGAGATCACGGTAGATTTGTTCGATGTCCCCTGAGTTTCTGACGTTTGAAGATGAATGCAAAGGAGTTTTGGGAAGTATATGGAAGCATATAAATGCACATCAAGCAGCCAGCAGCCAGGGCCAAAACTGCATAAAATGATGATCGGATGGCCATGTGTCGCGGTGTAGGATTCCCAGTACCATTTCTGGATTCCCAGCGGGTCTTCACAAGCTTCACTATCTCTTGTGGAGCCATATGCCTTGATTCTCCTCCTAAATCTCAAACTATGTGACATGTGGATATTTGGTTCAATTCTTTCGGGGAGGCTTAGAAGGACAAGTCGCACAAGCGGCATAGATCATTTCAAGTAGGAAAAGCTGTGTCAGTACCTATGCAGGAGGCGGATTTCTTCTTGGTTCCATGGCATACCTGGTGCGATCGCATTGTCTACAAGATGAACCAAACCCGGCGCGCTGCTTGCATGCAGCAGGGCGGGGGTAAACAAGATGGATCTACATATATAGGCTCTATAAGAGGGTTGTTGGGATGCTTATTGCATTTTGGTTACAAATATCATAAGGACTGTATAGAGGGGGGGCGAAGCAAGATGGTGCACAAGTGCCTCATTGTTGCAAATGTGTTTCTCCACATTCAGCATCGATGAAGGTTCCAACAACGTGGAGTTCTTCCCTCTTGCACCAGCACAGGGACTTCAGCACGTGTCCACACGATTCTGAGGACGATGGAGGGCACGTGGTAAGACCCCAGAGGTTCACCTGCTCAAAAGTCTCAAAAGCACGTGGTGGGCACTCAGTAGGTACCATCTGAAAAATGATGCTTTGCCTACCCAGGAACAGCTGATAACTCACCCTTCAACCTTTTTTTTGGGGGGATGGGTTCCCCCACTAAACCTTTAAAGGTTAACCGTCCCTTTTCCAGGGATCGGCCGCATCGGACCGCGCCCGTTCGACCTGGACCGGCATCGTGGTAGATGCAGATTGACAAGGCAAGACTGCATCATTTATATATAATCCCCAAGCTCCCAGCCTGATGGTGGATCGTTCACGATTGGCATCGTGGAATGTGTGAGACTTCCAGTGTATTTCAGGAAGTCTCTGCAGTGTACATCGATCTCATGAAACGAAGGAGCGGGCAAGCGGGCGCTGGGTATGACAGGGCGGATCGATTCGCCGATCGAGCCAACCTGCACAGCTAGTCTCACGGCCATGATGACCAGAAGATGACAAGAATTCAATTTATTTTGGTCATGAGGTCCCAGAGTAACCAACAATAATATGCGTTGGCGTTCTTGATTATTTTTGGTGGTGATGATGGTGATGATGATGATGATTATGTGTGTTGAAGAACTCAAGCCTTTGGTAACAGCCTGGTCACATCTGGCCCCTTCTTGGATTTGGACCGCCCTGCTCTTGGCCCTTCCCTTGTGCCTCTTTAGTTCCTGTCACGCAGAAAGACTCATGATGGAACGGTTTATGGATGGTTCGTGAGTCGTGGTCGGGCCCATTTGTCTCTTCCCTGTGGCACCCAAGTCAGTGAGGGTGCTCAGGGTCTTATTGTCAGGCCGTTTACGCCGTATAAACCTAATGAACGATACAGCCGATGGGATCACTTCGGTCGCCATTTGCCCCTTCATTCTCCCATCTTGGCTGTTACCATTGTGACCTAACAGATTAACTCCTAGAGACAAATGGGCCCGACCACGACTCACGAACCATCCATAAACCGTTCCATCATGAGTCTTTCTGCGTGACAGAAACTAAAGAGGCACAAGGGAAGGGCCAAGAGCAGGGGGGGCCCAGATCCAAGAAGGGGCCCAGTCTGAGTCAGACACGGCTGTAAGCGAGGGAAAGGATATGAGAGACAAAGCCGAAATATGTTCTATTTAACTTCATCCTAAATATATTGGCTGTCCTAAGATGCAAAAGACAAGACATGTATTATCTAACCCACCATTGTATGATTTCTATCTCTTATTCTTTATGGACTCTTCTTATTTTCATGAATTTTGGTAGATGGAAAAAATCATGTATGACCAAAATTCAATAAGAAGAGTGAATAAGAGATAGACCATCGTTTTTATTGCAATATTAAACATTTCTTAATGCGTTAGAATAAATATGATGGACCACCAATCCATAAAGTAATTCATTGAAAATGGATTGGTGGGTTGGTCCCTTTTCATTCATCTCTTCTTTAACTTGTTTCTTTGGTGATGAATGAAACGGAAGGAAGATACCACAAAATTGAGTTCAGCTAGTGATTTGGGGTTCATCATGTAGGTCCAGACCGGTCCAGAGGTGCATCGAAAAGGATACCATAGCAATTCTTGATTTCACAAGCCCTGAATGCTTCTACATCTCGAGTCCTGTGGATTTGATTGCCAGCCAACATTCGAGGGAAACATTACAGCACCGGCCATGGTGCAAGTTTGACCGAACCGTGGTTTCCGCTCGACCATTTGAAGGACGAGAGGTGGAGAGGTCGAGCGTCACAAAGGACGAGCGTCACAAAGGAGGGATGCCCACACTCTGACATTGGTTTTCAGTTAACTCAATTGCCACGATGGGAAGGAAGGTGAGAAACGGTATGGTGGAGAGTCCGCAATACTTGAAGATGTTTTAACAAAAGCTGTTTCGCAAGTCTGCAGAACTCAACGGCAAACCTCTAGGGCCTGGAGGTCTTGAAGAGGAAGCAAGGCCAAAAGCTCAATGCGTGACTGCAGAAAAGGTTTAAACAATTGAAAGGCAGGTACGTCAGTGCTGGCCGGGCACTGATATCACATCCACTTGGTGCGGTCTTTGTTAGATGAGGCACACCAAGGGATCCTCATCCCCCTGCTTCTTTTTGCGCGCTTTGTACATGTTAAAAAATTGACAAGCTGTACGCTAATAGCGATACTAGGAGCCTTTAGTAGCGAAACCGGGGGCCCTTAGTAGCGTCCTTTGTGACTCGAAACCTTAGGGACAGGTGTGGACACACACACACACGGCGCCGTACTCGGCGCGCTCTCCTACCTGCAAACTAGTAGTGAGGCCAGAAGTCCCTAGTAGCGTCCTTGCTCCCCGTAGACCGGCCAGAGGCCCCTATAGTAGTACCGTCCTTGCTCCTAGTAGCGATCTGTTGGCAACAACTTTGTACACATAACGCCAATATTGGCGTTCCGGAAAACTACTAGTCACCTAAAAGGCCTTAGAAAGACAGACCAAGAAAACAAAACAAGAGCAGACTAAGAGGGCAAGAAGGAAAGATAGGCATAGTGACGAGGCCCACTTAGTTAAATGAAAGTAGTTCGCGAGCGGGACTTTTGTCTTAGACCGCTCGGGTAGCTAGCAATAGATAGGAGAAACAGAAGGAAAGGCACCAACACACAAGTGTGTTGAGTGCGATTTCCTTTTGTTTCCCGAATAGCAGGTGGGATAGCAACAGAGGCCTGGGGTAGGGGGGGAAAAAAGACACTAGACATTACTGCAAGTTCGAAGTCGGAACATGTAGTGACTCATAACGACACATGACGGTGCAAGTGGATTCAGTCTGTCAAAAAGGAATTCCATCGTTTATAGCCCGGCGGCTCGAAACTCCGTTAATTCAGTTATACAAGTGGAAAACGTGGAATCAGTTATGAAAGTGGAAAACAGTGAGTTCCGGCATGGCTTCGGCGCCCCAATGAAGGGGATCACACCCAGCACCCAAGTGGGAAGACTGAGCGGCTCACACTCTGACATTGGTTTTCAGTTAACTCAATTGCCACGATGGGAAGGAAGGTGAGAAACGGTATGGTGGAGAGTCCGCAATACTTGAAGATGTTTTAACAAAAGCTGTTTCGCAAGTCTGCAGAACTCAACGGCAAAACCTCTGGGGCCTGGAGGTCTTGAAGAGGAAGCAAGGCCAAAAGCTCAATGCGTGACTGCAGAAAAGGTTTAAAACATTGAAAGGCAGGTACGTCAGTGCTGGCCGGGCACTGATATCACATCCACTTGGTGCGGTCTTTGTTAGATGAGGCACACCAAGGGATCCTCATCCCCCTGCTTCTTTTTTGCGCGCTTTGTACATGTTAAAAAATTGACAAGCTGCACGCTAATAGCGATACTAGGAGCCTTTAGTAGCGAAACCGGGGGCCCTTAGTAGCGTCCTTTGTGACTCGAAACCTTAGGGACAGGTGTGGACACACACACACACACAGTACACACTTGAGATTTTTGTGGTTCATTGGAGGTGTGGATTCCATGAACAGTACCAGCCCAGGATGAGGTCATGAAGAACTACAGTTTTCTCGGTAAAACTTGCTTGCATCTTTGGTCGGAAGTAGACCGGATCCCAGGCATGAGATTGGGGTGACTCATTGATTTGTTAGGGACTGGTCCGTTCAGATAGTGGCTAGCCTCGTTGAAATGTGATCCAAACCCGTACACCTGGTGATGATTGGTGATGCACCTCCCATGTTTTTCGGAACCTCGTGTTTTCTTCGTTGCCCAGTGGCCCATGGGCCGTGTGGCAAGCCCTCCATGCGTGGCTTCGCTCGGCTGTGTTCGACATGTAACAGGCATGAAGTCCTACCTCATTGGACGAAGAATGATGGTCATGATCACGTGTCTCCTGGCACGTTTGCGATTTGGGCGGATCCCGGGAGATGGCATACGCACTTTTTTGACACCGGGATGGCATTCGAGACCAGTTGGTGCTCAGAGTCTGGATCCGGACCAAAAACAGCGGACTGAGTGATGGCATGCTATGGCCAGAATCTGAGAGAAGCTAGGGACATTGAGGGACAGTGACACAAGAGACCACAGGCCACAGGCTCTCCCTTTTTGGGGGGGTCACCCTGGCAGTGGGCAGGTTTTGTAGCTTCAATTGGGCAGGTCCACTGGGTGATGACTATGTGACAGCGCGAGCGGTTCAGGTTCATCTTCTCCGACCAGGGCATGAATTTCTTCCCAGCTCCTGGGCCCAGTGGAGCCGTCCCGTGTCGTTTTTCCGTTTTCTGGGTTCCACGGTCCGATGCGTCATACTTGGGCGCGCCACCTGTCGAAGGATCCCTCTAACATCCTCTAACGCTCCACCTGTGTTGCCGTGCTTACTTGCGGGTTGTGCATCAGCCCTGAACAAGGTGTCCAGGAGAAAATCGTGGCTTGGACCAGATCGATCACTTGAGAACGCTTGGGTTTTCGCTGACTTTTCCAACCACTTGAAGTTCAAAAACCCTTCAAGGGGTTCGAGTCAAAACAGTGCAAGTCCCAAGTCCCCCCCAAGACCGGGGCGAAGTGAAACCAGCTGATCCTCCTTTGATCCTATCATATTTTGTCATATCATATCACAAAGTCCAAAAGTTGCCAATTCACACCACTGTCTGGAAAACATCGGTATATATAAATTGATAGGCGGCTCTCATTTGATTATTGCCTTTTATAGACACGGAAAGGACCAAAAAAACACCCTGTAATTGTTTTCATTCGCGGCAAGCTTCCAATGTAATTCATATGCATTACTGTATCCCGATGTATCCCGCATCATTTGTTGAGACCGATGTTACTGTAAGCTTCGACTCAACCCCCATCAGGTCTCAACACCCCCGACTTGCTGCGAGACGCACTCGGTCTCCAACAGCGAGGAATGGCGAGACTACATCCCTAACTCGGTCTTCGTGGTCACTGAAGCACTGACACCCCGCTGTGGTCCAAGCTGTTTCAATCCCTGGAAGGACGGGGTGGGACTGTTGGGACCAAGTCTGGTTTGCTGCATGGCCACTGGCGAGCTTCGTTTCTGTTTGGAAGAGTTCTATGCATCAATACAGTGGTGTAGCCGGGTGGGTAGCGGAAGACGGTTGTGAGGCTTGATCCTTTAGCAGATGATTTGTAAGACATGGTTTGGCTCATGAGTATCGCATGTAGATTGGGAGGTGGAGTGCTCAAAAAAACACATTTCCTTGGTGTCCAGATTTCCTTCCCGAGAAATGATTTTATACAGCTTTTCTGGTGTTGGTTGATAATATTTGGTGATGTGATAATTATGAATGAGTCCCCCCTCCTTTGATCGTGCTTCCTGAGAGCGGTTTTCCCTCCTTTGCTTTCATACATTATTGGGAACCCTAGGACTGCTACAGTTTCCTGAAATGGGCCTGTGGCATTGCAGATCCCGCAACCATACAAAGCAATCAGGGCCACGCGCATTCTCCCCACAAGCATTGCCGACACCACGATTCTGTGATGTCCCCCACCCCCTAGCATATATTTCCTTGCTAAAAGGTAAGCTTCCTGGGAGCGATGCCCCCCAGGCTTCCATCTTGGGAGTGGTGACCCCCCCTCCTGGCATACATTTTTCAAGAAAGAAAGTAACATGTATGGCAGAATTGGGGTCCATCTCCCCTATGCAACAATTTTTTTTTGGGGGGGGTCGCTCCAGAGATCAGGTTGTTTGTTGGAGATGGACAGAACGAGGCAGAGCTCCAAGCCACCTGTACCTACGGCGGTGTCCACGCGCTTGAGTTAATGGGCTTCCGAAATAAGTAGCCCGAGCTACTAAGAGCCTCATGAGTCATGAGAATCCACGCGTTTGAGACAACCACACCGCACATCAGTTTGACCGAGCTCGGCCCTGTAGGGCTTCAAATTGGCAAGTTTTTTCCCAAACAGCTTTGCGGTGAGGGGCTCTCAATTCTTGCATAGAAATGATGCTGGGCCAAGATGATTCCCGCCCTTTGTCTCCCCTTGTCTCCCATAGCGTGTCTGGATGCTGGACTGAGATGATTTTGCTTTTTCTTCCTTTGTCTCCCGTTGTCTCCCATGGCATGTCTGGATGCTGGGCTCAGATTCCCTTCGGCTCCCCTTGTCTCCCATGGCATGTCTGGATGCTGGGCTGAGATTCCCTTCGGCTCCCCTTGTCTCCCATGGCATGTCTGGATGCTGGGCTGAGAT